GCCTTGCTTGGTAGGATATATATGGGTGTTTAGCTGTCCTCGGTCCTATTGCCAGCTTTGAAGTCCGATTGAAGAGAAGAAAAAAAAAGAACGTTTTTCACTCTAAAATTTTATAATTTTATTAAAGATTCCATTTCTGAGGATTCTCTTTTAACGCTAATTGGTTTCAAGGTGTAAATCGAACCTGCTTTTGAAACCTTATTCATCAGGCAAAAACTGGGGCTTAATTAACATCTCTGAGTGTTGATGTTTCCAATCAAGATTCTCTGCCTCACTTGGACCCAAGATGTAGTCTCTAAAAAGGAATTGCTAGGGTCCTGGGCTCAAGCGTTTTCTTCCCAGGGCTTTGCATTGTAAACATTTAACAGTAAAGTTTGGGGCCAGTCTTAAGGCTCTGAAGAGGCCGGTGTCACTACCTAAAGTCAGTCATCTTCGGCTCCTGTGCCTGCTGCCTCACGGTGACTTCAATAGAGTTGCTCCTGATTTCTAAATATATAAATGTGCAAAGACAGTTAACTAGGACTTATTTGTGCTTTGGGAATTAAAAAAAAGTAATTAACTGGTATTTTTAACGCATCTGCTCTTTGCAGGATGATCTAGTTAAATGGTTCAGTTATAAGATCAGGGAATTTGGTACTTTTCGAAATAGTCCATCTTAAATGGTTCCAAAGTTATCCTGACGGGCTGAGAACTCAAGCTTTGCTTCCTGGAGAAGCTAAGAGGGGACAGAGGGACTATGAGATATGTGTAGAAAAGGCTCAAGGACACGGGCTGCAGAGGATCACCCAGGCGCAAGAAAGTATTTAAAAGATTTTTTCAGACTAAGAAATATTTCCTTCCTCTCATGAAAGCAATTATAACATCTAATTTGCAAAGTTTATGAGATGGAGTGGCCCTAATTTCCTTAAACATCAGTTTATCATCCTCTGTTTGAGTCTATTGGTCAACTCACATTGTTAGCTCGGGGGTCAGAAGATCTTCAAGTAGGGCACCTTCCCACCAGTCTATAGTGTGTATGAGGTATGCACCACATGGTAGTACATAGCCATAATTCCAGCACTCTGAAGGCTGAGATAGGAGGAGCTCCAGACTGAGTCATATCTGTACTACACAGCATGGTGCTGGCTCAATAAAATAAACCCCATAACAGCCTGGGGTGGGGGATAAAAGTGACAAGTATTCACCCTCCAAGATGGCTGCCAGTGGTTCCACCTCCTGTGTTTGCACCTAGTGTGGCCTCTCCCATATTACAGCAGGGCCACACTATGAGAAGAACAGAATGTGGAAGAAGGAATAGGATGGCATTTTGAGATCAGACTGTAATGCCCACTACATCCTCTCTTCTCCCCTCTCCTCCTTCCCCTGGCTCATCCGCTCTAGAGGAAATCAGCTGGCAAGAGAGGCCCACTCAAGGAGGGTCTGACACCTGCTGCCTACGGTCACAGAAGAGAACTTAGACTAGATCAATGGCCTGCCAGCACACCAATCAGAGCCTCAGCAGAGATCTTGACTCAGATACCCCTGGATTGGGTTCCTGACCCTAAGATATGGTTTACTCTGACAAAGGCTCACTGGTGTCAGCCACTGAGAGTGAAGTGTTCTGTAGCACACAGCATGCAAGTAATTTACGGCATGAAACAAGATCCGGAGCGCGGATGCATGGCGCACAATTAGACATACTTGTGTGGCCACTGTGTGTCCATTCTGCCTTCTTATAACCAGGAGATAATACCCTCTGATGTCGGCTCTTCCTTTTCCTAAGAACTGTGCCCAGGCCACAGGCTTCCACACAGCTGTTGAAGATGAGCCTTCTCAGGGCCACTCCCTAGCTTGGTCTGCAGGTCCATCCCATCAGGGTTTATAGGGCTCAAGCCCATTTAGCAGCTTTGGTTCCAACTCCTTAGAACAGAGGTCTTTTGTTTGTTTGGTTGATTGGTTGGTTTGGGGCTTGTGTTTGTGTTTGAGTTTTTTTCTTTTCTTTTCTTTTCTTTCTTTCTTTTTTTTTTTTCTTTTTGAGACACGGTTTTTCTGTGTAGCCCTGGCCATCCTGGAATTCACTCTGTAGGCCAGGGTGACCTCGCCTCCTGGACACTGGGATTGAAAGGCATGCATCACCACCACCTGGCTTAGAACATAGTACTTTAGAGAAGAGAAATCCCAGAGCACAGCGCATCTCCTGTTTCTAAGTACCTGTGGCTTCTGGGCCTCCAACCGTGTGTGTGTGTTTGTGAGGATTCCGCTGCTATGACCCGATCACCTCCCAAAGGCCCCATCTTCTCATAGGAATCACCTAGAAGGCGGGATTTCAACATATGAACACACAAATGTTCAGATCACTGCATGGAGTGAGACTCAGACTCACAAAAAAGTGCTATGCCCAGAGATCTTTGCCTCCTCACAAGACAGAGGCTCAGCTTCACAAACGGTGCTAGGGTGGTTCCAGACAGCAAGCAGTACAGCTCTGACCCCTTCCCAGGTACCCATTGATGTATAAAATGAAGCAAGCCTCCCAGTCTCCCTGGCCTTGGGTATGTCATCCCTCGTGTCAAGAGCTATGCTCTTGAAGCCTAAAGAACCACGAGGACCAGGGTTTATGATAGCAGAATAACCAGCAAAGAGGCAGAATGAGGCTGAGACCTCCACCCCCTCTCATCAAACCCCTGGACTGAGGAAGGGGACCCTTGGAGAGCTGACTAAACAAAGATACTCAATATGAGGTAGGCTACCATCAGGTTAAACATCTAAGACAAGAGCTCACTTGAGACCTGAATGGCCAGAGGAAGGGATGGGGGGGACTTTTGTTCTGATGATGCCCTTAGGTGTTCCTCCTGGGTCTCTCTATTAGCCCCTCACCCTCCCAGATGAGTAGTTTCTTACCATCCATGTTTTTGTAAGAGGAGGGGCTCTATTCAAACATTGGCAGTCCCCCCTCTCCCCGAAATTTGAAGCTGGGGCTTTCAGTCAAATACGAGGTGAGCCATTCTCCGCCAAGAGCCCCCTGGGAGTCGCCAGGGGTTAGACAACAGAAGGGATTATCATTGAAATCGAATTTCAACAGAGGTGGTACCGTGCTTCAATCCACTCTGATGAAATGTGTCATTAAATATAGAAATAGATCACACACCTTCCCACTGAGGTTCTCTGGAACTGAGTATCTAGGTGAGAAGCTGCGCATCTGTGAGAGCTCACGGAGTGTGAGGGGGGGGGAGAAAAGCTCCCTCACTAGGGATGTGCTTAACCAGACTTATAAATAGTCCCGTCATAGCTTGTTTGATTAATTTGGGGGATAAAGAGTAAACGTGTTTTGCCAATTCATCAAATTTTATGTTTTCAAAGCAGTTCCTAATGTAAATATTAGAATCCGAAATGAGCAAACGGTCTCTGGTAATTAAATGCCCTAATTTACAGGTTCTATTAGCAGCGAACAAAGATAATTTCCCCCTTAAATTAACTTCTCTCCCCTTGTACCTTACCCTGTCTTAACTTGCTATCAGGCATCGGTGGATGTGCTTGCTGAGGGACTGAGTGGGAGTTGCTCTCTCTAGCTGACTGCAGGGGAAGAAGTTTGTAATTCTTGAAGATGGAGCTCAGAAGAGCAGAGCCAGAACCCTGCCCAGAAGAGGTCACCCTCCAATGGGGCAGCGGGACCAGCAGAATGTGAACTTTGATAGCTATGGGTCAGTGACCTGCTATGGGGGTCAGGAGCTCTCCAGGGTCTGTGTGAGATCCCCATCCCGAGACCAGGGACCATCCCTGAGAAATCTGCTCAGGCGGAGGTGCCTAATGTCCTGGGTCCATAGGTCAGTGTTTGCGAGCCTCTCCTTTACACTACCCCTTACCCTGCAGAATTCCTCTAAAGTGCCATGAGTTATGTCCTATTGTGCAAACTCAGATGAGACTAGCCTCCGTGACATACTGGCTGGTGGCTACTGAGGGCAAGCCCTGACATATCCACATTCTCATTGGTAGCTATAGAATCCTAAAGCCAACCTCAGACAAACATATCAAAGTTAGGTGAGCACCCATCCCCTGCCATGTGCTGGGACAGGTATTCGGACAGATAGGCCAAGACTCACCCATTGGTTCACACATGATTTATTCTGCTTTATTTATTCAAATGGCATCGCTGCACCTCCTGCGGTCTCTTCACAGCACTGAGATCAGGAGAGGGGAGGGGGCACAGGTGTGTAGTGAGGGGGAGTGTCTAAATAACCCCAACAGTAAGCTCTTGCTCAAACCTGCACTCTGGATATCTGCTGGCCTCGCCTATCAAGGTGGTGACAAAAACCTCAACCCCTGAAGACAGCCAATCCTCTACCAGGAATACCCTAGCTAGACTCTGGCTTTTCAAGTTGGGAAAGACCTGACGAGCTCCCCTAGGCCAGCCCTGTGTCATGTGGGGGCAAGATAGACAAGAGTGTGTGCAGACCTGGCTGGGGTACCAGGAGGGACGTTGATGGGACTTAAGAATGTGCTTGGTGACTGGGCTCTTGGCTCCTTAGTAACCATTCCAGGCCTGAGATGTACACAGAGGAAAGACTTCCCACTGTCTTCCCAGCACACGGAGAGAGGGGAACAATCACAGATAGTAGCCTTGAGGAGAAACTGGCTAAGATGGGGTAGAGGGGGTGGGAAAGAGCCATCAGAGCCCGTGGCCTGGGATCTCGGTGACATAGCCTCGGCGGAAAGGAAAAGGAGCAATGATCATGAACTGGGCAGGCAGTCACACAGTAAGAAGCTAAAGTAGTTCTAAGGATGGGAGCGTGAACAAGTGTAAGCACACAGCTTGTCCTTGGGGCACTGACATGGCAGTCCTTGGAGAGACAGAAAGGAGTGACAGTCAGCTGACCATGGTAGATGAGGAGGGGGTGCTGGCAGAAGGAAACTCTTAGGGGTTAGCCAAGCAGGTGTATTAGTCAGAACAGGCTCTGTCATGCGGGAATAACAAACGAACCCGGATTCTCTGTGGCACATGGCAGTAACAATTTATATCCCATCAGTTTTGAGCTTGTTTGACCTGGGCCAGCCGCTGGTGGCATCTTTGTTTGGGACATCTTGATGGGCACAAGAAAAGAGAAAGGAGAAATGCGTATGCATCAAGCTTCAGGCTGGACATTGTCCTTGTCACATCTTCTCACGTCTTGTTGGGTGAGTTCCACACTGAGTGTCATTTATATGACCTAAACAAACCGCACACTCAAGAAGGAGGTACAAGCCTCCTGTAAGGACAGAACATATTCGTGAATAACAATACGATCCCCTATCGCAGGAGAGCTTCCTGGAGGAGGAACACACGGCATGGGTCTCTGGAGACAAAGACAATCGAAAAAATGTGCTCGTCCAGCGAGACTGCGCGTTTTGAAGATGAAAGCATCAGCTTCAGAGGTGACGCTGGATGAAGCTGATTCCACCTCAGTTTTCTCCTCTGTTATTTGGGTTTACTAATAAAATATATTTGGTAGACTTGCTGTGAAGCTAAAGATAGCAACACACACAGCTGCTTTGGAATGGTAAATAGAACATAGTAAAAAAAATATCAATAAAAACATGCTAGATAAATTTCAGCTTTTGTTGTTATTTTAGATGTCATGTAAACCCAAAGCAATAAATAGTCCAGGTTTATTTGGAGAAAATATTGTAGAGGGTATTCTAACAGATGCCGAAGAGCTCTGGTAACTGAGATGAGAAGATCAGAAAACAAATAAAGCAGAGCCAATTAAAGAGACTACAGGGCCCTTGTAGGGCCTTTAGGCTCGACTGACCCACGAAAATATAAAGATCTTCCCTCTCAGTGGTCACCTAGCAGTCACGTGGCATTTCTCTTGAAGACCAGACCAACCTTCCCACTGGGAATGGCAGCTCTGTCGCAGCGGCATGGCCCAATCGCTAGGCTCCAGCTCTTTCTCAGAGGGTGATCCCGCGCAAATCCCTTTACCTGTCTGAGACCTGGACCTTCCCTTCTCTGAAAGGAGAGGTGGGTTTGAGGGTGTGCCCTTGTCAATGGCACCCAAACTTTCTCCCCTCCTTTCTCCAGTCCACCATGATCCTGCAGCTCTGAGCACTTCCCTTACATCTCATCCTATAGCCTTTTACCCACTCCCAGCCCCAGCTCTGGTCTTTTCCAGGTCCCTCTTCAGCCCCAACATCACAAGCCCCTTATTTCCCATGAAACCTGGTTTTCATCGACAGCTCCAGAGAACAAGCAGTCTGAGTGAGCCCCAGCCCTGACTCTTCTCTCTGAAGCCAGAGGAGCTAGACAGTATCTGATTAGTTTGCAATAATATTACATAGCTTATAAATCTTTTAATCTATTCAATAAGAAGAAGTTAAAATGTACACACAACTAACCAGATAACAATGGCCCCAATTTGTGTTTTGTCTTACTGGCGACTAACATTCATGTCTACATGAGGATGGCATGTAATTAACATGTCATAATCAAAATGACTAAGTTTGACACATTATAATCACTGCATGGAGATTATAGCATAGCCAGGGGCAATCCACAGAGCCTATCTTAATATCATTTGCATAATGAAAGCATGGTGGCAGTAATAGCTTTTTTCTCTTGTTATCATAATTTCACCCAGGGCTGCAAGGGGCTCCCGCACTGTCAGATGTTGCCTGTTAAAAGTCATTGTGACTTGAAGGAGGCAGCAGAGTGACCCAGAGTCCTCCCCTTGGAACAATAGCTCCATGGCAGACCCCTAACGAACAGAGTGGGGCGGCGGGAGAACCAGCCTGCAGAAGAATCTCCTGTAGGCACAAACCCAGCAGGCACTGGACAGTCTGCCTCTGCAAGACCTCTTACTTGCAATAAACTCTTGCATTCCAAGAGTTTGCCTTCTGATAGTAGTTGCGACTCCTTTTAGATTTCCGCAAATGTGACCAGATAGGAATACACACCTAAAGATTCCCCTGACAATTAAATGGGCTTCTTGTCTATCTATGGCCATGATGCTGACCATGATGTCAAACCTAGCAAATCAGTCATTCTACCAGCTTTTCATGGCCACAGACCACGTACCCAGCTTCAGCGAGTGCCTCCTTAAGGCAGAGACAGTGTCAGAGAACACCCATCACACATGGCCCCCTGTCCTCCTAATTCATTCCACATCTATTGAAAACTGTCTTCCCTGCAGCTCATTATTGGCCTGCTCTCCCAACCCAGCCAGGCCCCACTTTGCCATCCTATTCTTACCTCTCCTTCCTCTGTTCTAGCTCATTCTTTGGGCTCTCAGAACCTCAGCTAGAGACACACCTACATATAACCATGTAGGTGTGTCCATTATATGTAGGTTACGGTTATACATATAGCCCCAAAGCATTGTGTATAATTATGTCAATTAATACTTAAGCAGGTACACGGGAAAGTGGTTACTAGAACCTGGTACTAGGAGTAATGTATTAACATACTTAAAGAATAAAACTATGCACACTCCTGACCAATGAAAATGAGAAATAGGAACTCCATGGTGGAGAAACAGGTCAGACATCACCTGAGCCAAGTGACCAAGGCCTATGCCACCAGTGACAAACCCTGTCAATTCCACACATCCCTGGCAGGATTAAAAAGATACAGGAGCTAATGTGAACAGAAAAGCCATTTGTGGGAAAACTAAGAAATCCAAATAAAGTCCATTATATGGCTAACATTCTTGTGCAAACATTAACCTCTCAGCTTGGATAAAAGCAGCTAAGTCTGCTGGGTGTTAACACAGATAAACCTGGATGAAAGCTAACACGGGTACGATGGAGTAAAGAATGGGTCTCTGCTCTCTTTGCCGTGAGTTTTTTATTATTAAAACTGGAATTTAAAATCTGAATTCATGAAATTTCATACACATACATACTCACATCTTAAAATCAAATAAGATCTCAAAGGCTTTAAGCAAATGGTCAAGAAATCAATGTGAGTAGATATCTTTGTTCCCGGCGACAGTCCCCATGGTTTAACTAATTCTGCCAGCCCAGCAATGACCCTTTTACTTCAAGCCGTAACTACATTTCAGGTTGCATAGAAGAGAGTAGGAAGGAGAATGTGTATCCAGGTACCTAAAGACATACCTCTTTCCATTGGAGCCTATCAACCAAACGGCCTTGTTTTCCATCTCAAATGGGATAGCATACAGAAACAAATAAAAGCAAATTAATAGTGATTAAAATGCATAAGAAGAAATAACATTCCACAAGACCCACAATAAAGACGAAGGAACCTGTGACCTCATAGATTCATTCCTCCATTTGTATATGAAGAAATACGGGCTTAGTGAACACAAACCATTTGCCTGGACTCTTACAGCAGGGTGGTAGAGAGATGGACCCAGCTCTTCAAACTTTCAGCCAGGATACAGGAGTAAAATCATAGTTGCTCATGTCCAAAGAGTGCATCTATCTGGCACTAGAGACAAAATGACAATTTACATGTCAAAAAAAGCCAGGAGCTCTGGCTAGTCACTCCTTCCATACTCAATGTGGCTTCTCTTGGCAATGATGGGCTCCCCAGGGGCTCTGATTTCCTAGGATGTGCGAGCTACTCCTCCCTGCCCAGAGATACACTTTCTGGACACATTCTCCGGATGTGGCTGGATGCTATTCGCAGGGCCCCAAAGCTAAGAGCTTTGTTGCCAAGTCAGGGCTTGTTTCACCCTGCCACATCCCCTCCCTTATTTGGAGGGCTTGTCATTCACTGTTGACTGCCAGTCATCAGGGTCCTGGGCAGGAAATGAGGCCAAGGAACTTGGGCACAGAGCCCCCTGCTTCGAGGGAACTGCTGACTCACAGCCAATGCATTTTAACACAGGGAAACTCCCAGGAAAGCCAGAGGGCTGTGCCTGAGCTCCCAGAAGCTGAGCTTTCTGCTCTTCTTTGGGCCAAAAATTAATGCCATTGTTTTCTCCTAGGCCAGGAAACCATGCGCGCTCTCGCTGTCTCTCGCTGTCTCCCTCCCTCTCCTATAAGATGGAATCCCGCACATCCGGGGCCCCAGCTGACATCTCACAAGCATCTCCACACTTAAGGATACTCAGAATTAGTGACATTGTTTGGGAAGTCGTAAAAGGTTGCTTTCTCACCGGCAAGGACATCTCCTACCGTATCTCCTTCCCTCAAATCTGGATTCTTCTGTTAAGTGTGGGCTCCTTTGGCTTCAGAGGAATTCTAGCTTTTGTTTTTTGACTCTCATTGCTACTCCTGGCCACAAGGGACAGAATCCATAACACACTTCTCTCTCCAAGCAAAATGAGGAAGTCGATGGTTTAATTCTCAATGCACAGCCTGAGAGCCCGGGCACAGTAGTGTAAACCCTGAATCCAAAGACCAGAGAGCTTGGCGTCCTGATGTTCAAGGGCAGGAAAGAAGTGTCCCAGCTCCAGAAGAAAGATCTTTTGCTCCATCCTCACCCCAATCATCCCTCCCATCCCCCCCAAATAGCAACCACCCACACTCAGGGCAGACCTTCCCATCCAGTCCACTCATTGGTTAGTCTCTGACATGCCCTCAGAGCACATGTGAAAACGATGCTTTCCCAGATTTCTAGGCATCTTTTAATCTAGACAAGTTGACACAAAAAATTAACCACCACACATGTTAAAACTCCATTTTTGGCTATGATCTTTGGGGTAGGTAATGTTGATCCAAATGCTTGGGCACAGTGTCACTCAAATATTTTCAATCAGCTAATTTATTCTGTTTTCAGAGTGCAACTATCTGTTTGCCCAGCTGAGTTCATTTGTGTTAGCTATTTTCTCTTTTTTAAATTTCAATTCTATTTTATGTCTCTTGGTGTTTGATGTGCATGTATGAGCATCATTTGTATGTCTGGAGATGCTAGAGGCCAGGAGAGCGCATCTGATCTGGAACTGGAGTTACAGATGGTTGTAAGGGGCTGGCGATTAAACCCAGACCCTTTGGAAGAGCAACCAGTGCTCTTAACCATTGAGCCATCTCTCCAACTCTTGTGTTATCTTCAGTACAACTTTCCCAAGTTCTCAGTTCCCAGGTAGCTGAGCTATTTGAATAATGGCGGAGAACTAGCTGAGCATGGTAACATACACCTTTTGTCCTGATACTCAAGAAGCAGAGACACACAGATCTCATAACCCAGCCCACACAGCGAGTATAGGTCTCATAACCCGGTCTAAAACAAAACAAAATAATGGAGAAGTAAAATGATGGAAAAGAGGTGAAATGTGGTTGTGATTATAAAGTTGTTCATGATGTTTATCTTCTTTTATTGTCATTATTTTCTAAAATGTTTGTGACCATATCTAGTGCTCTCTGAGTTCACGCGATATGCCACCTTGGCTAGGCTATGGCACCCAGCTCTTCTGTCAAATGTGTCCAGATGCTGCTATGACAGTCATTTTCAGATGTGGTTAACCTTTAGTACAATAGACTCTCAGTAAACAAATTCTCCTCCATTATGTGAAGAAGTCTCATACAATTAGCTTCAGGCTCCCAGAGGAAACACTGAGTTCCCCAGCAGGAAGAAACCATGCTCCTAGTTTACCCTTA